TCTGGGTCTCCTGCTCACAGAGCCATGAACCCTGGCATGGGAGCCCATACCCATGAGCCATATTCCCTCGATTGATAATAGCTGTCACTACACACAATTCCCACCTCCAGATGACAGAGCATTGGCCTCATTTCTCCCATGTGCCCATTCAACTCATTCTCATGGCCATATCTTCAGATGATGGTCTTCCACTTGGACTCTGACAGGACAGGTGGACAGTGCCTTTGCTTGGGGTGCCTGTAGCTAGCAGGACCACATCTGAGAGTTATGTGACATAGGCAAGTCAGTTACCACCTCCTGACATAGTGTCACTGACATTGAGTTTAGTGTAAGATAAACAAGGTCCTATACATGGAGAGCTTAAAATATGGTCAGGGCATAGTAGGCACTTTTGAAACTTACATTTGAAAGCCTAGTGCAAAGAGACTGCTGTCAAAAATATTCTTGTAGGAGAGAGATCTCACGAACTTGTTCTGTTTTGTACAAATCAGAAAAATGTAGACTGATCAACCCAAGTCCCAGGTTTCTGGCTCAGTCCCTTTCCTCTCCTCTGAGGAGCTGTGACAACAGCAGAGTCCTTCTGTGACTTGTAGAGGCACAGAGCGCAAGGTGCAGCTGCATGGAACTGCGTTGGACCCTGACTGACCCTACTCAGGCAGGGAGCTCCAGGCCATGTTCAGTGGGAAACATAGAAATGGAAATTCAGTCTGATAGGACATGGTGACAGCCTTGGATGAGCAAGAGGTCAGGGATAGAGAATCAAGAGCCAGCATCCTTCTCGAAGGCCAGAGAGACCAGGATCAGGGTCACAGGCAGGGGTGAGGAGTGACTGTGAGTGCCCCTGGAATGGAAGCATAGGTAGAAGGCAGGACAGCAGGACTGGAAGGAGAGGGAGGGACAGAGGGCACAAAGCAGAGGACACATGAGAGGAGGAGGGTACCGCATCACCCATGCTCTGACATCATCCAAGGGTGTGCAGGGCTGTGCTTGAGTGTGCCCTTCCCACACAGTCTTTGCTGGAAAGTTCTCAGGTAATATTTGGGACTCTCCTCTGCTCTGCTCAGAGCTCCCTGAATATCAGGAACGCTGAGACAGCTTCCAAAGTCATCATGGTCAGAAAACAGTTTGTACAACTGGAGACAGAGGATTTCCCGGGTCCTTATCCACAAGAGAAATTCCCCTGGTAAACTGTCCACATTCAGAGGAACTCAACTGCTGGCCTAGCACTTACTACAGCTGCGTCTCAGATGCTCTTGAATCTTTGTCTGTGGCCTTGACTTGTTCCATGAGGCTCAGGAGCAGGAAGTACACAATGCTGTGGACGGCAGCAAGAGCCTTCAAAAAGCGTAGAACAGGAAGAGGTTTTAGATGGTTTTCTTGAACTGAAAAGTAAGCTCACGGTGAACATCAGGAAGCTCTGAGCCCAGGGTGACAAAATTAAAGAGATGCACAGGGTTGTGACATCTTCAACGTGTTGGCCAGTCCACGGGCACTGCCTCTGGGGTTCTGGGCATGGCTGCTATAATTGTGGTCCCCTTCACATGAGGGGGCAGTCTGCAGCTCTTAGGAGTGGGGTCAGGGCTGGGAGTAGCAGCTACTGCCATCGGTGCTACCACTGTGGCTAAAGAAAGCAAGATTTCAGACGAAGCTGAACCAAGATGCCTGGTTTAAACCGCCAGGGATATAATGAATGTGACTTCAGTGACCCTGGCTGAGGCTTCTAGAAAGGTTTCCAAAGCACTGAAAAATATCAACAGAACTCTGAAAGTAATCAGGCAGTATGTCTGTGCTGTCAGAATGGCCAGGAGGATGATCACAGTGAAATTCCCTGCCTGGTGTCTGCTCAGGTGTGGAAAGCCTTTGAAGTCCTGCTTGGTCAATGAAGAGAGGAGCCAGAGTCAGAGGGGCAGCATTTGGGCTCGCCTGCCTTGCACTGGATGTGTATACCCTTGTAGCAGACTCTAAGTGCAGCTACACAATGAGACAAACATCAGGGCTGCTGGAGGAACAGGACAACAGGTGGATAGGGAGCTGGAGCTGTGTCTGCAGAACTTGTCAAAAGCCACAAGACTGCAGGAAGATGGCTTCAGTGACACCTACCCATAAGCAGCACAGGAGTCAAGGAAGATGGCCTGGACACACTGGCCAGTAGGAGGGGGAAGTGAGTGAGAGCAAGTCTGTGAACTGAACACTGAGGATTTCGTGTTTCTGTGGCTGAGAACAAGGTTCATGTGGATAGCTAGTGGGTCAAAGAGAAGACAGCAGAGAGAGTCTGAAGTGAGGGGCAGACAAGACTAGAGGAAGGGGAAACAGCCTGAAAACACAGAATGGGCTGTGCAGGAGAAAGCAACATGACATCTGGGGAAACTGAGGCACTGGGGAAACTTTTTCACTGAGGGAGAAAGCAAGAGCAAGAGTCTTGAAATGGAGAAGAAACAGCAGTGCCTCCCCCTCCTTCCCACGGGTGCTGTGAGCTGCAGCCACAGCCCTGCCTCTCTGGCAGCAACAGCATCCACTCACCCTTTGTCTGTTAGGCAGTGACTTCAGGGTAGTGACAGAGCTGGTGGTGCTGTTGAGGGTAGCATTGCTGGTGACAGGAGAGTGGGTGGAGCCCTGGCAAGGTGTCAGGCCATCTAAAGGACCAATGAGTAGATCCCTGTGGGGTGCAGGGACAGTGGTGGCGAAGGTGAGAAAGAATTTACTTTATATATGTATCTCCGTTAATGTGCAGCTAGGGGTCAAACCGCTCTCTACACTGTGGAGACTTCACTTGTAATTCCTCCCTCAGGGCTCTAGGATCACCTAGAAATAAAATGAACTACAATTTTACTCTAATGTTCTCAGGATAAAATGCTAACTTCAGCTTTGGGTTCCTGCTTACTTCAGATCAACCCCCACCTCAACCTCTCCCCCACCCCACCCCCGAACACAAACTGCCCAGGGATAACACTGGGAAAAGCTACCTCTTAAAGAAGAAACGGCAGAAGTTGCTGGAAACTTGTAAACCCTGCTTCTGTAAGCATTTCTAACTCAATGGAACTTTGTTGAAAAGCGCCCTCTGCAGGTGGCTGCATAGAGAACAAATTCAGCACAGTTGTCAGCCCAGAGGAACAGCCAGAAAACCAGGTTGGAGCTGCACTTTGAAAAGCCCTAGCCAGGTCCTGGCCAGAAAGCACCTGGGCTCTCCAGCTCTCCGTGTGCTGCCCGCTCCTTCGCTGGCCAGATTTTACACAACAGCACATTTCAGGGCACTGAGAGCAGACTGACTTTATCAGACGCCAAACAAATTGTGCTGGGCAGTGTCAACCAATCTGGAGGCAGGAGCCATATCTTTGGCCTGGGTAGGATGGGTCAAAAAACAAGGCTCTTGAACCAAACGTGACGATGTGGATTTGATCCTGGGGAACCTGTGGTGGAAGGGGAGGCCTGACTTCCTGAAGCTGTTCTCTGACAAACTAAGCCTGCCATGGCAGGAACTCACCGCCCCACCAATGAACACACATGAACACACTGAGTGACTAAATGCAAGTAGATAACATTATTCAAAGATGTTAAGGTCATTTGAAATCGAAATGAAAACACACAGACCATGTGCTTCCAACTCCTTCCACAGTTGGGAACAAGCTTGCTGCCCCTGAGGCTGTCCCAGGTCACCTGTCTCTGCCTGTCTGCTGTTCCATAGCCTTGGGTTGAATAAATACAACTGGCTGTTCAGAAAAATGGATGAAACAGTCATCCACGTAACAGAAGGTGGCATGGGACAAAAGGGATGTACAGACAGTGATGGGACGCCAAGCACCACAGTCTTCAGGGGGGAGCTATGGATTAACTGAGGACAAGGGAAGCAGGAAGCCTGGTGGTCTGCCAGGAGTTAGAGGGAGGGGTTGTGTGGTGAGCAGGATAATGGGATAATGGTGACATTCACAGTGGCTGCTGTTGTCTCCTTGACCCCAAGGATGTCAGGCGTGTGTCTAATACTGACAGCACAGGGTCCTGTGGTAAGGTCCCATGTGCCATTGGAAAGGCAGGGAGACTGGGCAGGGAGAGCAGGGAGGACCATCTAATGGACACTCCTGATGGCTGAATCTCAAGATACCTGCAGTTTAGCCAAGCTGGATCCCTGCCATGACATACTGCGCCTGTGTTGTATCAGCTGACTGGGTCCCTAAGAACTAGATGCATGACTTCCCTTCATTGTGAACCTTTATCCAGGACATCAGGGAACTGAGTCCTCCATGGCCTTCCTGTGCACTCTCTCTCCCTCAGTCAGGCACTCCCTTTGGTGTCTGCCATCTACAGGTCCCACTGGTTAAATTGTTGCAACCCACGCCTGCCGGCCTGACTGGGCACAGGGGCATTCCTCAGCCATCATGCAAGGCCAAGATTGGCTAGGATCAGAAACTCTAAAAATGGTTTGAGCAAGGGCCAGCTGCAGAGGGACAAGGAGAGGCAGACCCACCTCCAGTCTGCTTTGGGACTCTTCTTGACTCATGCAAAAGCTTCTAGAAATCTATTCCCATGGCTCTGCCCTGCACATGAACCAAAGGGGCCTTCTCGGCCCTTGAGAATACAGATTTGGTTAAAAACTGCTTTCAGATTCCTGACGGCTTCCATTACCTTTAGACAAACTCCCACAATTTCATGCTAAATACAAGTGAGTGCTGACCCCAGGGATTCCCGAAGACACCCCCAGGGGTAATGACCTCACATGAGGCTTATTAGGGAACCCATCAGGAACATGCTTCCTGACCGTGAGGAATGACAGAGGGAAGAGAAACGGTGGATAAAAGGACACGTTCTCCATTCCACTGCTCGCAGGAGAGGTTAAGCCTGCCAGAACCTTCTGTGGAGACCTTCAGAGACCGTCCTCAGAATTGCCAGTTATGGAGACGTGAGAAAGCTCTGTGTGAGTCCACACTGGGGATCAATTCTCCATTCGCCCACACAGGGCATCTGAGTGGAAGACCTCACTATCCAGGAGCAAGAGCTTCGGGTCTGCAAACTGATCCCTGCCCCCTCTCACTGCCAAGGATCCCACAGTGCTCACTGAGTCGTTGAGTGCCTGCCTGCATGCTGAAGACTCCTCACACTCTGTCCATTGGCCCATGTTCCCAGGTGGCCTGTGATAGACTCTTATTTCTACTGTAGAAGACCAGAGCCATGGTCACCTTTTAGACTCTGATCTGAATAATGTGTTTCACTTCTTGGCCAATTGTCACATGTTGCCTACTCTACATTCTTCCTGACATGTCCCCTGGGCACCATGTTCATCAGACACCAAGTGCTAAAGTTTCCCTTGTGCCTGGACCACTGACCTCCCTTCATATCTGGGTCTCTGTGTGGTAAGAGATAGAATGGTGGCTGGTTTGAACAAGAAGAACATCCATTGAATAGACTCAGTATGTTCAGAGGAGGGGAAAGAACAACATCCACTCTGCTCCCAGACACGAGGACCCAGATCCAACACCAGGACACCCTACCAGGGCTTTGCCATCAGATAGATTAGATCCAAACACCTTGACTTCTAATGCCCCCGACATTACAACTTCAAACTCCCAAGAGACACCATAGATTGACTGAGGTGAATTGATCTTGGACCATCTAGCCAGGTGATGAGGAAGGCAATGGGTGATAGGGATGTCACCTGATGGGAATCTCAGGTCAGGTAGAATGTGACTATGCAATTACTCTATATAGTCACATCCTAAGCAGTAACCACTTATCCCCTTCTCCTCAAACAGACAAATAATGTCACAACCTGTCATAGGTTCCCAAAGACAAAGACTACAGCAACACCCCAAGATGGTGGTGGGATGGCCACAAACTCTCCTCTTTCAGAAACACAAGGTCAGGTCGGAGAGCAGGGCTTCTAGTTTAGTACAATGCCCATTTCTCTCTCTCTCTCTCTCTCTCTCTCTCTCTCTCTCTCTCTCTCTCTCTCTCTCTCTCTCTGTGTGTGTGTGTGTGTGTGTGTGTGTGTGTGTGTCCACACATGCCTGACTGTCTGTGTGTGCTCCAATTGCTTGCAGTGCCTACAGAGATCATGACATCAAATCTCCTAGTGGTGGAGTCACAGGAGCTTATGATCCACTTGATATGGGTGCTAAGAACTGAACTACCTACTTTCAAACAAAGTATGGTCCCAAGTCTAAGGTCTAGTGCTGAGTCTTAGTTTGAGTCTTGGTGAATCCAGGAATCCTGAGGTCTAAGCCATTGCCTCTTCCAATGTTAAAGTGTGCTGCCAGCAGTGGTGTGAAACAGCCCATGTCACCTGCTGTCCTTCTCTCAAAAACTGAGTAAACATGGCCACCAGGCCCCAAGAACATGTGTGTGTGGAATGGAACCTGTCCCGATGTAGGAGTACTTGGCCACTGAGGTCTAGCCATGCTGAAATCCCCTGCTTCCTAGAGCAGAGCGGAGCTGTCCCTGGGACATCAGGCTGCCTGAGTTTGTAGACTTCAGACTTCTGTCAGCAAGAGGCTCTGTCTCCTCTACTCCAGGGGTCATAGAGCCAACCAGGGAGCCGGGGAGTCTACAGTGAAAGATACTAGGGGTTCTCAGAGGAGGCAATGCATGATGGGTCTCTGCACAGAGCAAGAGCCTGAGGCAGGGGGATGCACATAGGCAAGTGTTTACACTGCCTACTGCCCTCAGCATCAGCTCTGTCCTCATCAACCAACAGGGAAAGAGATGCCCTCCTAAACTACAGAAGAGGGTAGGATAGAGGTGTGCTAGGGACTGTGGGGGCTTGGCAGAGCAGGTGTTACTGGAAGGGTTCAGGGGAGGGCTCCAAAGTTAGTAGTGGTGAGTCTTCCCACGATTGGAAGCCCTGCCCAAGCTGGGTTGGTCAAAGCAGAATTTGCAATATTGACCTGAGGTCACTCTTTTCAGTTGGCAAAGTGGGTGGCATTCTGGGTGGCACCCTACAGTGCCCATTCCAGTGTGTTGATTGGCTCTTGATCACCTGGACCATGAAAGTTTCAGTTTCCATTTCCCAGTTGGGAACATAAGGCTGGAGGCTGCTTGACCTTATGACTCAGAAGTAAGTGCAACTGCCAACTGCATCTCAGAACAGCCAAGGCCATCTGGGTCCGGCTCAAACTTGCTAAGTTGAGCCTCTTCCCTCCTCTCTCTCCTCATCTTCACAATGTTACCCAGGGAAAGGGGATAAGTGCCTCATCCTAGAGATGAACTCAGGGAAGGTAGATGTCATCCCCAGCCCTGAGTCCAGAAACCTGGCCTTACAGGCAGGTTCCTGTCTGTCTGTCTCTCTCCCTCTGCACTAAACACAAGACAGGATGGACAATGCCTCAGATGGGATCACCAAGTGGCCTCAGGCTCAGGTGCCAGGATGACTATGATCTGGAAAGCAGGCTCCTGACAGAAAACAGATTTATGGGGGCCCACCAGTTAGAGAAATGTAGAAACTGAAGGATGTGGAGGAGGGCAGGAGGCTCAGAAACCACCGGTTTTTATGAGCATCCTGACATTGGACCAGGATTATTGTTGCCAAGACCAGGTTGGGTCAAATGTTAACTTGCAGATAAAAGAAACCCAAAGATTATGCCATGAACTGTCTCTGAGCTTGACTTTGCCATGCGCAGGGCAGCAGAAGACTGGGGACTGTGTTGTGCTGAGGAGTCTGTGAAAGAGGCTGAATGGTGGTGGGTCAAGTCCTGCCGCCTTTGGGCCTCTGTTGCCCTTCTTTCCAGTCCGTGGGGGATAGAAGAGAGGGAAAGAGGTCCCTGTGTATTTGGAGGGGAAAGGTGTCAGCATGGTTACAGGGAGGGGAATGTGAACAATCATGCAAACAGCCCGTGACCTTTTTGTCAATAACTACCAGGTCAAGGATCAGACTTCATGTATATGTGGATGGGGGCATTAGTTCTCTGTGCCTGTAGAAGCAGAAAATGTTCCAGAAACTTTGGGAGAAGAAAATGGAGAGTGGGAGGAGAAAGAAGAAAATTAAAAAGGAATCCCTCTTTTTTTTTTTCCATAATGAGACTATACCCTCAGAGATTA